GCTATGCTGGATCCGAAAATCCACACTAGAGAGCGCGAAATTGGCGAAATCGGTTCTAACGCGGAAGGGAAATCAGGTGGGCGGGGTCTTCCCCACTGTGAACTCACTGTCCCAGCTTCCGAAGTCCTCTTCTCAATTCCGCTGGCCGCCTTAACACTTCTATCGGCCAAGTGCTAACACGTGACTTGAAACCGGAACCGAGAAGATCGCTCCGGGAGCTGGGACTATGAAAACACCGCAGGAGAAGACCCAGCCCCCTGCTAATTTCCCTCCGCTAGAGCCCTTTCTCACCGTTTTTGCGCTCTCCAGGATGGATTTTCGAATTAAGCATGACGAAGGCCCGGATAAGCACAAACAAAATTGAAATTTTGCCCGGACACTGCCTATAAGATAACGCCGATCTCGTTTATTTCTTAAATCTGGTCATACTACAAAATACTGTGGATAAAATCAATGGCATGAGTGCAAGTGCTCCTGCTTCTTTTCCTTCAAATTTGGGCACGCGTTCCACTTTTTCCACTTGATCGACTTCCCTATCGGTCAAGTCAGCGAATAACCTTTAGCGAAGAGCTTATTCCATTGACTCCACCTGCGTGGGATTAGTCTTCTGATTCAATAGAAATTCGAGTGAAGTGTATAAAATGGACCAAGTGAATAGTGCGGAGCGTGCGTTAGACTTCGACAATATGGGCCGAGTTTGGAAGCAGCACCAGCGATGCTGTCGAAGTGATGTTTGGAGTCATTTTGTGTGAAATTGTCTCGGTTATCAGCTTAATTCGGTTTTCCTCTTTTACTAAGGCTCTCATGTGACTACATCATACAGCTTGTGCTTTGTCATAGCATGTCCCCTTCATTGTCATTTTGCGAATTCAATAAATCTGTTTTGTGAAAAAGTCATTGGTTGAAACCACATCTTCACATTCCAAAACTTAATTTATTGAACACAAGCAACTTTGACTGACTACTGACTTTACTACTTTGTTCACTTGTGCACCAATTTGTAGAAAACACGTTATCACTTCAGCTTTTTTCAAAAATTATCTGAAAACTTGAAAAGTGGAGTATTTTTGGGAGAAATCTGGTACCTACTAATCCTGGACTTCATGGATTTTGAGGGATGGCGTAATCTAGACGGCTTGGTTGTGCTGGTCTTCTATAACGTTGTATGGGAGCAACCATTTTTGTTTGTAGCAGATATGGGTCATCTAAATTTGAGCATTATGTCCCTCATAATATGTTGCAGTGCTGGAGAAAGCTCGTACTTTTCCTATTAGTAAATTCATCAACAAGATTTTTCAATATGTTCCACGAATCATCAACAACACTTCGATCTGTTCGCTCGTATGAAATACATATTCGTATCAGATTGATGTCGTGTACCTCAAAAATTAAAAAAAGAATTAGATAAGCTTAACAGTGAGTAGACTTACCCTGGTGGGAGCTACAAAAAGCATATGAGACTGATTGATGAACTGGCAGAGATCTTCTGTGTATTTGTTATTTTCCTCCTTAGAACTCCCCTGTTCCTGAAAGTGCAATTTACACCTTACGCCCTTTGGATGTCAGCTTACCTCGTAGTAAAAAGTGAAGAAAGCTAGTTTTCTTGAGAAAATTTTGAGCAGTGGGTGCTTCGCCACTAGAGACTCGAAATAGTTACACATTTCCACCGTCTGGAAACTCCAGATTTAAAGGAAGGAAGATCAGACAAACTAGAAAATTTAGCTGTACATAGTTGAGATAATATCGCAGTCCTTCCAAACCATTCAGTCGCACCGACATCCATATCTTCAGCGCTTTGTTTCTGCGACTCACATGGATCCCCCAGTCGCGCATATCGGTCGTATCTGACAAATTAAAGAAACGATCTGAGGTCTATCATAAATTTCAGAAGGTAAAAATTTGGTCTTCCTCTAG